GGTTTGGGGTTTACGGTTTAGGGTTCGGGGTTTAGGGCTGCAGGTGGCTCTTGTATCAGGGTTTGGGGTTTCGGGGTTGGTATCAGGGGCTCAAGGTGTGGTGCTCTGGCGTCCCAGGTGAGGGCAGTGTCAGCTGTAGACCATGCAAGCTTGTCAACTTGCGGCGTTTTGAAACATATTCGGGTTTAGGGGCTCCCTCCCTCGGCGAACTGAGGGCAACCGGCTGCAGGACCAGCTTAGAAGGCCACGTCTACTATTTCAGGCAACACCAGCCTCAGCCCAAGTTCCACCGGAAATCCCAACCGCGAATAGGCACGCACGACCTGCTGGCCTTCAATTGACCCTCTCAGAAACGATAGCTTCAACATGTCAACCAGAGACCGTGCGGCTGAAGCTCTTCACACCATTCAAGCCAACAGCATGTCGCGGCAGTAGCACCAGGCTTCCTGCCTTGCAGCTGTACGAGCAAACCCTTCAGTTCCAAACCACAAGCCTGCACGTAAGTTCTCAAGCCACCCAGAGATTCCAAGTGCAAAAAGCTAATATAAGGGCCCAAATGATTACCTATGCTATTTTTGGGGGTGGTCGTTATCGTAGTTGTGGAATAATATATATATATATATACATATATATGTATGTATATGTATATATAGAACCCTATTGTAAGTACTAAGGCCCCTACATTACGGAAGCTCAGAGGGCTTGGCCCGTATAGCCCAACGAGTTTTCCGAGAGCCCCACACCCCTCCAATCAGGAGTCGACCCTGAACAACAGCATTCGATCCCCACGGTTTAGGGTTTAGGGTTTAGGGTTCCCGTCTGAATCTGAGGGTGCTCCGATTCTGCTCTTCAGTCAAGCAATGGGTAGTGTTCTAAATTAGGCTCCCCTTTTTAGCCTCCCCGATTTCGTGCGGCGCCCTTAAAAAAAGGACCCTAAAAGGGCCCCTAATGTGGAGACCACGGGAACTGCAAGCAGCCTAAACCCTAAACCCTAAACCCTAAACCCTAAACCCTAAACCCTAAACCCCAAACCCTAAACCCTAAACCCTAACTGCAAGCAGCCCGGAGGCTCGCGACCCCTCCTAGCCTTTCCCCCTCGAAGTGTGGCGCTGGAAAGCCCCTCGGCGCTGAAAGCGGAGAGCTTAGGCTTTGGGGGCTTAGGGTTTAGGGTTGAGGGTTTAGGCTTTTGGGGGTTGAGGGTTTAGGGTTTAGGGTTTAGGGTTTAGGGTTTAGGGTTGAGGATGTGTAGACTCCCAAACCCGAAACCCAAACCATGTGTAGGCTCCCAAACCCGAAACCCAAACCCGCAGCCTCATTTGCCTATAGCACCAACCGCTGAGAGACAGGAGTCGGCCGGAGGGCTTCTAGTTTTCATGCATGGGAGTCCCGACGCCCCAACCTACTCTTCGAGTTCCTGGTCAAGTGCCCTCAAGGAAGAAGTCGAGTTCTTTCAATGCTGTGCATTTAAGATTGCAAGATTGTCCGGACCAGCAACGTCTGACTAACAATGTGGGTAGTTCTCTAAGTTAGGGTTTTTGGGGGGTCCTTTTTATGATGGTTCGGTACTAGATCGGTGACCTAAAAAAGGGACCCTGATTTGGAGAACTCCCCAGTATGGACCCTGAACCCTGGGATCCTTACATACCTGCGATATACGCCCTATGTATCCTTAAGTGTCCCTATAGAATCCCCTAAAAGGCCTAAAGGCCCCTAAATCCGCATCCCAGGTTGCGCACCTTTCTTGGATGTTAGTACCAGGCACGCTGCCACGTTTTGGATGAATTCGGCGGTTTAGACTTCTTCAAGTTTGAAGTGTAACATAGGGGCCTACATAAGTACTAATACTATTCTGGGTGGGTTCCTTCTTATTCTAACTATAGTAGAATATGCCCCGAAACCCTATTCTAATTGTTCAAGATCCTACATTGCGGAAGGTTCCCGTCTTTCAGGGCCCTGGCGCTGCGGATTCTCGGGTGGATGGGTTCCGATTCTGAGAGTTACATCGGCTCGATGCCGAACTGCTAATGTTGTGGTCTAAATAATTGCCGATAATACTATTTTGGGGGCTCCTTATTATAGTTATGGTACAATGGGCCCCAAAAGCCTATTCTAGTTATTAAGGCCCCTATATTAACTCTGAAACTGCAACTGCAAGTGTTAGGTGTTCGGGTTAGGGTTCAGAGCTTGGGGGTTTGGGGTTTCTGGTTCATGGGTCAGGGAAAGGTGGGGTTATGGTGTTGCAGCTTGAAGTTTGCATTGTGACCCTAAGCCCTAAACCCTAATCCCTAAACCAAAAACCCTAAACCCTAAACAGGAAGTTTGGAAAGATCCTGGGGTTTTGACCGATCGCTGGAGCCCAAATCCGACGTGGACTTTTGATTACTATAGGGGCCTAAAGAAACTACCTGTACTAGTGCGGGCGGGGGGGTTTAGGGTTTAGGGGTTTAGGGTTTAGGGGTTTAGGGTTTAGGGGTTAGGGTTAGAATTATAGCATACTTTACACCAAAACCCTATCCTAGTTAGCAAGGCCCCTGCTGCACTTGGCATTCCAAGATTCTTGAGTTCAGCCCTGCGCCTTGGACCCTGAAATCGGAACCTCTGCTGCCTAAGTGCACCCAAAATACTGCCGATGATATAAATCCTGCATTCCCAAAAAGACCCAAAACATATGGGAACTATGGTAATTATTATGGTATATATTCCTGATTATGGATAATGCAGGATTTAGATCATCAGCCGTACCAAACCCGAAGCTCCTAAACCCCCGAACCCAAGCAGACGTGTCGAAGACCAACCATGGAAGATGAGAGGGCCTAGGATAGCTTAAGGCATTTACAAGGTTTTATTTTAGGGTTTAGGGTTTAGGGTTAGCATGGCTTAAGGCATTGACAAGGTTTTATCCGGATTCGTAAAGGTTTATAGGGTTACTTCTGGAGTTTGATTGGGGTTGATAGTTTCTAGGTTTACTTGTGGAGTTTGATTGGGGTTTATAGTTTATAGGTTTACTTATGGAGTTTGATTGGGGTTTATAGGGGTCTTCCTGCCCAGGCTCGCCGGAAAACTGGCCATTGAGCCCAAACACCGTGGGATTTGGGGACGTCTCCCGCCAGAGGTCACGCAAGGGCCGCTTTGGGCCTTGGGCTTTAGCGCCCTATACCCCTATAGGCCCTAAACGAAGGAACAACCTCTGACCCGTAGTCGGGCCTTCTTCCTCGGCCTTTAACTTCAAAGTCTAGGAAGAACACCTCTGAGGGCGTGGTCCCCCAATCCCATCACCCCGATTGTCAGCGTGCAGATTACGGCGCAGCGGCAATAACTGTGCATCGCAGGGATTTCTTTGAGGTTCCATTCTGCTTTTGGGAGGTCCACGAGTCTGGCAAGAATTCAATCAAGTTTGGATTTGAGTAGTTCTCTAAATTAGGGTCCTTTTTCAGGTCCCCAATATAGTACGGCACCCCTATGAAAAGGCTTTTGGTGTCCCTAATTTAGAGAACTACCCATTCAGGATTCATAGGTTCGTGGCTTCGAGACAAAAGCTGCCAGATTGAGAGCGTGGTGAACAATGGGGTTTATTCTTTTGGGGTTTAGGGCGACACATTTGGTTATGAAAATTGATTGTGTGCGCGTTAGCGGAGGCAACAGTGAGCAACATTGACATTTGCGAGGTTTCGGTTTCAACGGCAAGCGATAGCATGCTTGCCGTCACTACCAAATACGCCCACGCCTTGTTCAAAGTCATGGGTAGAAGTCCAACAACAATGAGTATACCGGTATACCCTAAACCCTAAATCGTGGTAACCCGTAAACCCCAAACCCTAAACGATAGGGGAGGCCAGTATGGCCATGGCATGGAAGCAGCGGGTGGCACGTAGTCTTCATCAACCGATACTGGCGCCATATATATAGCTATATATACTTTTGTTTGTTTAGTTATATCATTTATTTAAAATTGATGATTAGATTGAAGAGGATTCAGATCCAGATAGATTCTGTGCCAGAAATAATT